AATTCTTCGAATTCCGAACAACCATTCAGTTGAATTGAATAGAAGGTTTTTGTTTGCAAATTGAATTTTCCAAGAATGATTAGCTAATTACATTACAGTATTTCGTCTCATTTCGTTTCTTCATCTCTCTACTGCGATTGATTCTGAATAGAGAGAAGCATGATCACTGAAAAACTTGATGTTATCCTGAAACAAAACCAATCGACCTTAATTACATATCTACTTAGATGGTGTCTGTCTGTTGCTTAATTAAGATCTTGGTCTTTATAATTAGGGATTTTCAAGGTAGAGATAGGTATGAACAAGTGAGTGTTAGATGGATGGATATAATAACATAATAGGTGTTGCGCTTGCTATAACCGTAATAGCTCGAACGGCTGCTTTAAGATCACGTTATATATACCATAATTATTATTGTTGTTATTACTGTTTCATCGAGAACGCACTGAATAGGTCAATGGGCTTGACGAGAGTAAATCTGTGTTGCTATATCCGTATTAAGCCAAACCTCCATTTGATGTTTATATATGCAGCATCGTATGCATGTGTTGTTTGCATATCCGTCCATTTCAACTATTTGAATGGCAATATCTCGATGCCATTCTAAATCGGAACGTTCTTAAATGAACTGAAATACCATGATTATTTATCGTTATCGGTCGTTGCGTTCACTCTTTGATCTAGTAAATAATGTTGCTTATGATTCGGTTTTGATTAGATTTATATTCGTTTGCAAGATATTGTTGCTATAATTGAATATAAGACAACGTCACGATAACGCCTAAGCACTGAATCGTTTATCCTTCTTCTGCACATTCGACATTATTTTGTTGTTTTCTATTTGCTTTATGCAACAACCAACCATAAGAAGCCGCGTCAGATATGATAAAGCAGCTTTTTCATAGGTTATTATTATTATGACTGTTACTGGCAGTATTCATCATGCGCTCCGGAAATTTCATTTGAAAACGTTTTCCGTTTATTTACGCTTATGCTCGTTTGCGCTTATTCGCTATTGCTCAATCGTAATGTGTGCACAATGCGATGGAAATAGCAATTTTCTTCATGTTTTCGCCTATTCAGTTTGCATTACAGAAAGCAAAATATGTTCCGTATGTTCTCCTTATATTCGGCGTGATGCTAACAATAAGTTAAATTGTTGTTTGAATGAAGGCAAAATTGAAATTATTGTAAACGTTTATTTTCACTGTTCACTTCCATCGGTTCCTCTTAAGAGTCACACTCTTCAATCATCGCAGTTATGTGTTGATAATGGACAATTACTATTGATGATGAATATTTCCAGATTTATGTTGAATTTGCATTACCTATTGAGAAGTACGGACTTTTTGAAGAAATGTTCAAAAATTCCNGGATAGAACATTCACTTAAAATCTAGAATGTGCTCCACACGTAGTCGAGGGCTTCTTAATAGATATGCATTTGTTTCCTTCATTCGGATTTCTAGAACCCCTTTTTTTCTCTTCAAATCTTGCCTCCCGAGGGCTTTTTTGTAATATTTTATTTTTTGTGATTATATCAAAGGAACAGAAGGTTTTTTCTTCGCGAACAGCTTGATCGTGTATTATGCACTAGCTTTAATCGTTAATTGTTCATAGAGGGAAAACAAGAGATCCGTGTGAATCAGGAAGGAATTATTGAGTTGTATATGAATAAAAAATTAGGTTGCGCATATACTTAAAGTGTTCTCATAATAATTTACATCACTTGTGAGATTTATCATCGATGCGTCGTGAAATTACTTAAAATACTTATACATTGCGCAAAATACACAGAAGAACTTATTTCCAAGTGAAATTTGGTTTATGATACCTGATCGAATACACACGATTGATTCGAAAATTTTAGTCATCATCTCAATAGTGCTTTAAAATTTTTGAGGAAATTGTCTTCATTCAGGATAAACATGGTCAACAAATTCTGTCTGCATTTGATTGTAACGAATTAAAGCGTAAGTCACGCACAGGAAGTATCACCCGAGAACGTTGATTAGTATTTGGGAGCTTGTCGAATGGGTGGAGTGAGGGATGTGGGATATATGAGATCAGTCGCTTAGAGACTGAGAATTGCAAACAAATCGAATAGTGCTAATTCAAAAGTGCTTACATTGAAGTTGAAAAGCAAGCGTGTGATTAGATCGTGACTATTGGTGATAATTGACTTATCATAAATTCATTATTAATCAAACGTTCATCAAGTTTTCATTCAGCTCGTTCCATTATTAGTTGATTATTCATGAATAATGAACCTACAGTTTGTCATGAGAACTATATTGTTCAATGCAACAATTCAATTTGGTCGTCATTTATTAATTCAGGTGAAATTTCCCAATCGCTGGAAATTTCTAATCTTATTTCGATTTACTCTATTCAAATTTGTTCCTTTACATAAATCGAAGGAGTAATTTCTTTATT